GCCACCGGCCGTTCCATGAAGAATGGAAAGGGTGCCGGCAGTCGGCAAATTCACCTGGTGTGCAAGACTTGCACAAGCTGAGTTGTTAAGGGCTGCCAACAGAAGGGCGGTGATTTCAAGATCACCAAGGTAGAGGGCCAGCACGTCGACTGTGCTGGGGGCGGTCGGACGAGCTCTGCAGTCGTACAACCCCTGGTGGACCAGTTGATTAGGGCCAACCCCAAGATCGCCGGTACCGCGATCAAGAGAACCCTCAAGACCGTGGGATTCACCGTCTCCGACCTGCAATCTCAACGCGCTACGAAGCGCATCGCGATCGCTACCAAGGAGGATGAAGCGGCTGCCATTTCGCGTCTTCCATCCCATTTCCAAGGGATCGAGCGCGATTGCCCGGGTTCGATTGCCACCGTCTAACCCTAAGTTTGATTGGGGCCCTTGGTCAATGTGCACGTGATGCAGCTGTGCAAGGTTGGGCGAGGACTGGACAACAGCAGGACCACATGTACCGTAGCATGTTGTACATGTGCCGTCGTCACGTTACCGTAGGCTCTGTACACAACTATAGGTTACCCTCGCTTCTTACTCGTGTCCATCCAAATGATCCATCCCCGCACACGATGTGTGAGCAACGTGCAGCCCAGTGTGTCGTTCGGGTGCCGACCTTCCTGAGTTTATTATCCCGTGTGCACGCGTTTTCCCTTTTTAGATGAGTCCCGATAACCGGTTCGTCAGGAGCTTCCTGATGCTGGGCCGCGCACGGCGTCCCCAAGGCGAGTGAATCTCTTTCGCGATTCTCGTGCAGACGTTGCTGGCTTTTCATTTTCGCTGAGATTTACCAATTGTACCAATTGCAATTGGGTATGTATTCAAGCCGTGGAGAGCGTCATTGGCCATTGAAAGCCGTGGAGAGCCACTGCAATAGTCACAAACAATGCATTGGTCACGTCGATGCGCTTTTAGGTGGAACGGTACCACAAATCATCTCTGAACCCTCTACATGACTTGCTACCACCCATTCCCACAAGTTGTCGATGAATGAACTCGCGGGAGATAGAAGCAGTGTTGTTCTCAAACCCGCAGCGAGGTTTGCGCAGGCAGAAGTGATTTTTATTTTCAGGTAACAATCGAGGGCGCCCTGGCTTTTCAGCCACACCATATCGAACTCACGACCAGCCATATCTCGAGCTCACCGTCAAAGTCTTGTACTATGTGTATGTGTATGTATTGTAACGCACCTCTGAGGACAATTGAGGCTCATAGCAAGTGGTCTGAGGAAGGCCATTAGCAATTGCTCCTCAGCTTCACATTTGAGCCCCGGGTTGAATTTTGCATTTTGGTTGGCGCGCCATGTCGCGTGACAAAATGGGGTGAAGTGTTCATTATGGCAACAGCAGTCCCCCCATTTTTTCGTGGTAAGGCGTGTACTACATGTGTGTACCCTCTCTAAGAACATCGGGCCAGACAATTGCACCACGGAGATCCGGTGGAAGCTTGAAGTGGTGGAATTTAACTGCAACAGCAGTAATGGATTATCGACTGCTTTTTATCTTGAACGGGCAGTATCTCTGTGTTCACGTGTATGTCTTCCCTTGGCACTTTTCCCCTTTCAACAAAAAATGCTGCTGCTCGTTACCGTAGTACCTCCAACACCACGGCAGTGCTGTCACCGACATTGCTGTGGTTGCATGTACCTCATCTAGCGTGTTCCCGATGTTGTTCAAACGAGCAGTGGCTGGTTGAACGGTAAACGCCATCCATGCGCGGAACGGTGGTCAAGGGCTGCTGTTCCCTTCAAAATTGATTTCATTTGAAAGAACCGACAGGCCGTCCCGACCGTGCCCACTCACCACTCGCCACATTGTTGTGTGCCCTGAAACAGGGCCTTGTGTCCTTATGTGTTTCAGTGTGATTGAACAACAGGTAGTGTTTTTTACAAGCTCAATTTGGTTGTGACCAGTGCCAGAAAGAAAGGCACCCATAGAAAGAGAAAAGTGAGAAAAAACGGGGGGGATGCCCGCGTCAACCGACAAGGGTTGGGTAACATTGCGACCTCACCCTACTATCCATACAATTGGGGTGTGTTTGTGGGCCGATTTTTGTTCCAGGTGCAAGCCTACAGATTCGCACAACAGGAGCAGTACAGAAAGCAGCATACCCGTGGAAAAGGGCTTTCCTACTACCCTGCGCGGCATCTCGCAGTTCACCTGTTTGCTAGCTCTCACTCTTACCGTTTTGGTAATTTTCTACCGTTCCTTTGCACGAATCCGAGACTAGGTCGTATGATGCCATGTTGCTCCCGCTCTCGCCCTTCTCTCGCCCTCATTCGATTACAGCGCATTTCTGGTACTGTACTTGTCGACATTGCTTCGCAGGTTGATGGGCGCCCGCGTCCCAAACAGTCGATGGCGAGATTCAGAGCGGGCGACCCCAAACAACATTTCGGCAGCAATGCAAGTAGGGCCTTATGAGACCTCCAAGCACTTCGAACCGTTTGACCTTTGCCCTTACGAAATACCAAATTCTCCGCCCCTGCCGTTCTGAACAGGTAGTGGCCCTGGACGCTGGCCACCTCAGGGGTTCGTGGAACGGAGTCATGTACGTCCTCTGCATGCACGACAGCAACAACAAGATCACCCACGTCAGCACTGTACTCGCAGACAAAGAGAACGCAGCCAACTACAAGTTCCTGCTCCAGGAGATCTGCCAGAACGAGCATATGCAGCGACTTCTTTCGTCCGGCGAGGTGACGTTCTACATCGACGGTCACAAAGGATCACCGGCGGCCCTCAGGGTGGTTCTACCGCAAGCCCCATGGTGTGCGTGCGTGAGGCACCTCATCACCGACCAGAACATGAAGGCAATGGGACACGTGAGTAGAAATTGGGGAAATAGTGTCCTTTGTTTTGGGTTGTTCCAAATAAGATGATTGAGAGTTTAGCTGCACGTCGTCGCGCATCGCAACCTCTACAAATATGTGTAGAGTATCGGACAGCCAATAGCATATTTCGCTGCTGGTGGAGGCCAGGTGCACAAGATGAGGCACTCGCCCAACTAGACAACTTGACCATCACCCCCCAGAGAGCCGGAAAGTTGTTTTTGCTACAATATTGCCTAGTTGGTATTTTAGCCCATTTCTCGCAAACCGCATGTACCGTATGTTGGGGGACACGTCGTGTGCTACTTGCGACGACGCTTCACGCGTAGTTTGAGCGGATCACGTGTTAAGGTGTGAGGGGTGATGCAGTCTTGTGCACTGCAGCTTCTTTGCATCGCGCAAAGCGCCCCAAAACTGTATGTACGACTCTAGACCCGCCTCCGCGCCCCCCCCAGAAAACGCTCATGACTAGTCATGCTAGAAAAATTTCCCACCCAATATTGCACCCTTGTCGGAGAACGGAACTCATCTTGCGTGCGTGGGATTATGAATGTGTGACGGTTGTTGAGCCACAGATTGCGTTGTGAGTGATGGACCTCCCGTCAAACAAATGTTGCTAGAACGTCTCCCCAGCACTTGATTTTCTTGTGCCCGTCCCATCTTTTCTGGCGCCAGCAGACGCACCTCTCGGTGAACATGCATGTTTAGCTCATCAGCCCGGATCACACACAACTCTTCTTTGCCCTTTTCGTTATTGTTTCTCCACCCCGATTTTCTCTGTTTCGTGCTGCAAAGCAGCAAAGCAGGCATTTTCAGACGCGGTTTACCGAGCGGCGGTGATGCCTACCAAGGCCCTGTTCGAGGAGGGCATAGAGCCAGTCAAAAAGTACGGCATCCTCATGAAGAACGACCTCGAGAAATGGACACACCATGCCACCCCCAGCCAACCTGGTCAACCTGAAGATGTGCACCTCCAACTCTGCGGAGTCCACCATCTCCGCGGTCGGCCACCAGGTTGGTGAACGAAATGGGTGGATGTGTTTAGAAGGCTTTGCAGGGCCGAATTGACGCACTATACCCTTCAAGAGGAACGATTCTCGTTGGTTCTCATAGATGGTGCGTCAGGTTGTCCTCTCGCCCAGCGTCAAGCGGCAGATGTCGGTTCCCGTGTGGGCCTACACAGGAGCCAGCGTTTTGTGAAGCCCCCGACAGTCGACCACTGCTGTAGTTCCGAGGCTTCTCTCTTGACATTCCCATCGCTTTTTCTCATGCATGCATGTAACATTGTGTCGTGAATGTTGGTGGTATTTAGTGGGTGCTACCTTTTTCGGTGGGTCGATTCAACATGAAAGAATCCAAGATAAAGCGACTCGGTACCATCCCTCACTGCTATACATACGCACAAACAAGACTTGGTAGATGGGTGCATTTCTCTTTCCCATCCGGAGAATATCATAGCCTCTCCCATGTCACCCGTTCACCAGGTCCAACATCAAGGTCTTCGGAAAGATTGCCGTATTTTCATGGGTCAGTCTGTCAGCGGGGTCCATGCTAAACGTGAAGGCACATGTACATTCTCACCCAATTTTATTGTCAGGAATCCCGCCGTCCCGATTCTACAACGGCCACTTGTCAGCGTGTTGTGACTTCCTTCTCTCCGCGCCGGTGTGTGCGGCCAAAATTTTTTATGCTTTTCCTTTTCAAGTAGTCAGCGTCTGAAGCGTTGACGTGTCCCTCTTCCGTTGTTGACGTTTGTTGCTCGCAGAAACGGGAAATAGACCCTTATCATCTCCACATCGAGATTGCGGAGAAAACTGCGGAGCAACTCGCGACGAATGCCGAATTGAAGAAGGACAGGCCTGCCATACTCGTTCCATTCGCGGCCAAGTTCATGGAGGGCGAGAGGTTGCTCAGCCTTCAGTAAGTACTGGGACAACCATGTCTGGTGCGTTCCTTGTTCTTTCCTCCGTTCATTCCACGGCTGCGTGGTCGGTTGGGTGTACAGTACGACCCCGTCGGTTGGGTGATCCATCCGTCCTGTCTCTCTCTTTTTGAGTCCATGATGTTTTCGTCGTTTTTGTCTGTCGTTTTGTGTGTGGTGCACTCTTAACAACCAGAGCATGACACCTGTCTTTCGTCGACGGCACAAACTCAGTTTTTGTCTGCTTTGTTCCCTTCCTTCTTTGGTTCTTCATGGCGTTCGCCCCACTCGTCGGCAGCAAGCACGTCAAAAGCATGGGCTTGGGCACCTACCTTGTTCAGGAGCACGGCAAGAGCCAGTACGGCAACAGGGTGACGATCGTGCTGCCGGACACGGAAGGGAAGGGTGGCCGCGTCGAGTGCACCTGCAGCATCCCTTCCAGGTTCTACCTGCTGTACCAGGACACCCTCGCGGTGTTGAAATGTAAGCCTCCTCCATCGGGTTGAAAACATGGATCGCAATTGATTATTGGGTTGCAATCATGGTTTGGCTTGGTGTCCTCTGTTGGCCGTCTGTGTTCCGTGTTTGCATTCTGTATGTATTATTCTCGCAACTCACGTGCAATGTGCGACCTCATACAATCTACATCGCAGATCCTCAATCTCGTCCCTGTGTTTTCCTCTGGTCATCTGTCGCTCGAAGTTGTTCCTTCTTTTGCCTATGGCACAACCTCACCGTTGGCTGTGAGCGAGGTTCTCGTACAAGTAGAATGAAGTGGGATTCTCTCTGCCTGTGCATGTCGTGCATGTGCCCAAGCTATGTATCATCTTCGTATTTCGTAGCCACGTGTGAAGTCGGAGCTAGCACCCACCCCCTCTCGATGAATCACCATGAACGTAGGCAGAGGTTGATGAGCGTGTTACCACTGCTTGGGAGGAGTGTGTGCTATTGGACAAACATTCCTTCGTTGGTACTGTTCAATTATGCTTTGCTAGAACCACGGGATTCCTGCCTTGCCGAAAACACGTTGCTACCTCGGATGTTGACTAAAGTGAGCTTGAGGATAAGACAACAAAGACGAAGATGGATCAAAACAGCCCTGGTTTTCACACAAGCTAGCGAACACATTTTGTGGTGATCGTGCTCCTCGGCCGGTTTGTGTGTTTCCCAATATCCGTAACACCGACCACACATGCGTGTCCGGCCGCACGAATACCCTTCTAACGGCCATGTTCTGTGAAAGGAACCCATGTGGAGGCGTCGTGGGGAAGGCTAGGCTATTTTGGGCATCCATGACACGGTGACACGGTAGCTTATGACGAGAAACCCAAGCTGCTGTCGCTCCTGTGTGAACGCAGTCCGTTTTGACTCCGTTCGCGTTTTGCTTGTTCGATCATTGTCTTTGTGTCGACTACTCCTCGCAAATATTATCACTGCTTCTTTTGAGCTAGCTCTCTATCCCTTCCGGGTTTCGGGGTTGGAAGAGCAGGGTTCTCTTCCAGGTCGTCTCTTCCTTCTCGGTTCATTCCATGCTTTCGTGCTACTTTCCTCCGGAGTGGGATCGTTTCGGTCTTAGGTTCGCACCCGGGAGGGCTTGGCGCGGGCAATAGCGGGATGAGGGAGGGTGACCAAACAAGAAATCCAATGCTCAGAGTACAATTAATTGACCGTTCTTTTACGACTCTTGGCCCAATCCGCCTCTTCCCGATGCCTTGACAGCAATCAACAGGCTTGACTGCACGAGGGCGCTTGTTGATAGCGGGCACACCCTGGCTTCCAACAGGGCGCTCCACAGCCACCCCGACTATCCCGTCGTACTTCCTATCTGGTCAGAGCTTTCGAAGGGCGACCTCCTGCCCCCGCGCCAGGTGACCCGGCAAGCTGGTGCTCCGAAGAAGAAGCGTGGCCCCCGGCAGCGTTCCCGAATCCCTGGTCGCAACAACTGCCAGCGCGGACGCGGCAACGTAGCCCAAGGCGGAAGTGGTCGTGGCGGCGGGCGGGCCGCCGGGGGAGGGGGTGGTCGTGGCGGGGGCGGCAACGCTCAGCCCGTCCCGGTATATGAGATGGGCAGTGCTCGCAGCCACGTGGGAGACCTCAATGTCGGAGTTTCCGCGGGCGAGCGACCTACCGGGAGGCTGTGGGGATGGCTTGCGGTTCAGCGTTACGGCTCACAAGACGCTTCCGGCCGCGACCACGCAGCGGGGCCGGGGGCCGGGTCAAGCGCTATGCTGAGTGGATCCCAAGGCTCCATCGACCTGTCGTAGCTCAAGTGGTTTGACTCGTCCTTTTGAGCTTGGGCCTTTGAATTTCTTCGTTGCACGTTGTCGGAGTCACACACGACGCTGTGGTCCGTGAATGGCAGGGTGCAAGAGGTCGAATGTGTTTGCAGCTTTGCGAAGAGCACCCGCGACGGCGGGGCGCGCGTTGTAGCGCTTATTTTCGCTTCGCAGTTTCCAAAAAGTCATGCACAACAGAGATGAACAGCGAAATTCGACAACCACGCACATGACTTGGGAGGGAAATATCGACTTGGCGTGAAAAATGGGCAGAAGTGTCGAGCCCCAAGAGGAAGCAGTTGTCAAGGACGGTTGTCTTCAGCCATGCAGACGCACGTACCTGCGAACCGCTCCTCATGATAACCGCGACGAAAAGCGTTTGGGAAGTGGCCCTTCACCCCAATAGACAGATTCGCAACCGAACAACTAATCCACGGTAAACGTCCGTAACCCAAAGGTATTCTCGTCAATCGGGGGGGGGGGGGGGGTTAACAGCGCGCCGTGTAGAAACACAGCACGCAAGTGTTGCACGCGCCCCCAGACAGAGTTGCTGGCTCACGTCTGCACCGATTAAGGTGATGCACGCAGCGAAAATAAGTTGGGCCACAACCTTGACGTTTTCGAACGCCAAGCATTTACTGTGTTTTACTGTACGATGGCAATACTACGTGCGAAGAGTCTACCACACTGCCAAAGGTGTGCTTGGTGTTACATCGACAAGCAAACAACATGTATCTGCATCATTTTACTATGGGTCATTGTGCTCATTTTGATGGCTTTCGGTGCGTGCGTGCACACAGAATACTGCACCACCTTCTGGCCTCATGTCGCATACTTGTACGTGATGATTCTGGGGGGGGGCTTTACGGGTCTGCTGTGCATACACGGTGTAAGCATCTACATATGGCTGTATGCCATGTAGCACGTTAACCTCTCGGAAGAAGCACGTACAGCAGTGTATCAGTTAGGACGTGAGGTTCGGTTCAACCCATGCGACATATGATAACATATGGTACAGGATTGTTATCGTGGTGAAGCTGAGGCTTGAGCCCTGAGTGCGTGGGTGTTGCGGATATTGGTCTGAGGAGCTGAAGCTAAAGCTTCAGAATTTATTGTTTTATGAACACGCCGCTCTCAAGTGTCAAGCTGAATCCACTCCAAAAAAAAAACGGCCTCCGAATGGGGCCCTCCGCGTAGAAATAAGAACAAGAACCCAGTGTAAAATAACACACGGATGTGCCTGCTCGAAATAAGAACTTTGAAAAAATGAACAGGTGCTCAATTTGAGGCAGCCAATAAGCATCGAGCCTTGGCCAATATGAGCGGTTCTTAAGTGCGGGCGCCATCTGTATGTATACAGTACACTGTAGTTTGTTTGCCTGCGCCCTTCATGATGACCGATCTCTCAGCTTGTCTCTCCGCCCGCGATTTCAGCCGAACCGGTCTACCTAATGGCATACAGCGTACCGACCCTGTTCGTGATCACGAAATAATTTCGCCGCTTGGCCTCTAGAGTATCCAAAATTGTAATGGAGTTTTTATGGTCGTCGCGATGCGAAAGGAACTAAAAGTTCAACTTTTCCGTTGCGGGCTTGGCGAAACTCTTCGCTCCCGCTGTACATCGCCACCACCCTGAAACACTCGCGCCCGGGGCGTACCCCTATAATAGCATCAACCCACCGCGCAGCAAAGTGCTCTGAAAATCTACAGTACACGACGAACAGAAAATCAACAAAAAAACGTCGAAAGTTTTCAAAAATAAAATCCAGCCCCTCTCCAGCCTAGTCTACCATAATAGTCTTCCCAACACGTTGTTTCCCCTTCGCCTCGGGCTCTACATGGGATATCTCGTGACCGAACCCGGGTGGCGATGCCGATCTACCCCCGTGAACAGCGAAGGGGGCATTCCATCTTAGGAGGGGCAATTTCTGTAGACTGCGTAACGCTCGTGGTTCCATCTACACGCGAGCGACTCGAAATTCTTCAGAAGGCTGCCAAATACTGTAGATGTGGTTCGTTCCTATCATACGAGCAACTTGTCGGGGTTGAGATTCTATCCCCGTAGACTATACGGTGGTCGCCCCTTCCGGTGATGACACGGGCTCAACAACACTATAATATTGCGTATTGTGCATCCTATAGACGAGCATGTACGACGTGGGCACCCCTTGCGATGATGATGTCGGCTCGCAATGTTATTATTGCGTGTTTCACATCCTGTAGACGATCATGTAAGACGGGATAGCCGCTGCCTCATCGTACACCACGGTTTCGTCGTGGTTGAGGTTTGCCCCTTTCTGAAAGGTGGACGCGGCGACGAACCAGGCGGCGAGAAAGAAAAACGAGGGAAAACACTTGTGAAAAGTCGGACACAACGAACAAGACGTGGGGGACATTGCGGCAACAACAAAACAAAAACAAAAACAAAAAATCGCACGCCGTTGGAGGAAAACATGCTCATCCGACCTTGAGCGTCGACTTGCGACAGGTCAGGTACCTGTATTACGAATAGTTAATCCTTGGTGACTAATGCAGTTTGCCGAGGCTTGCTCTCAAGCAAGATGGCTTCGGTGAGTAGGAGAATTGGGAGATTGTTTGGAATTGTAAGCAGCGCCGGTAGTTGTTCGCCAACAAAACAGAAATAAATACAGAAACGGACGCGCCGACAACAGCAGTGGGTGCATCACTTCCAAAAGAGAGCATGTTGTTTCTCTCTCGCAAATGAATGCTGAAGGGCGTATCCAGACTTGTCCGATGTACAAGCTGCTATATATAGCACCCACCGATTGTCTACACCATCCATCAGCGCCATTCCGGGTGAAAACGTCAAACGTCAGGATGCAGAGTTAATTGGGAAATGTAAGCTCACTCACGTTGCCCACCACCGAGTCGAATCCTTTCCCGGGGCACTGATCGTCCGGGAGATCCACCGCCTCGGTCACCTTGAGAATATGTAAACGAAAGGACACGGCGGAGATAAAGCTGACATACAATCAATGCTATATCGAATAGGCGAAGCCTTCATCACTTGGATCTCGTCCCAATACGGGCAGGACGTTGGTTTCTCCTCAAGTACATGCAGTACTGTTTTACGGTGGTGATTATGCGTCCGATGCCGACACAGGCGTCGTATTTTGAGGTCGAAGCCTTCCTATACCCGTGCTCGTGCTCTCCGTTAGACTACTCATGGAAAAAATGGTCCTAGTTTCTTTTTACCTTCGCTTTCCCGACAGCAACATTGCACAGAAACATCGTCCGGTAACGCGCACCGTTACGCCTCTGTAACAGTGAAAGCGCGCGCAAGCGAGGGATGAGGGGGGGGGGGGGGGGGGGGGGGGCCCTTTTTTTTTGAAGGCTTAGAGGGTAAAACCTTGGACCCCCCCCCCCCAAAGGGGGGAAAATTTGGCCCCCCAGAACAAAACACAGGGGGCAAAATTTTCTTTCTACTTTTGCAAAGGGGGGGCAAAAAA